TTTTTATCTTTCTGACCTTAATTAATGCAATTTGTATCAACAACGTGTTGCATACACTGTTTTTGCAACATATTTATACTTGTTTGAAATATAATTTATTAAGTAGATAGTAAAAATTTAAGCACTAGTTAATTATATATTTACTAATATACATTATTTGTATGATAGTACATGTTTTGTAAGGAATATGATTTTTCATATATTATTTATTATATGTGACAATTTTGTCAAACTCTATTTTGCTAGGATTAAAACTTCTCTGATCATAATAATCTGAGAATAGCTAACCTATTCATTTGTAAATTTCCAGTTTTTGTGATTATAGCTAAACTTAATGTAATCAATTCAGACTGATTTATTTCCCCCTTCGTAAAAATCACTAAACTGCGTGACTTCCAATCTCATTATTTAATCTTGCTCTATTAATTTATCACTAGCTTATCATATTCTCTTGTAATAAGTCACGATTTTCTTTTATAAAAATTTAATTTGGTAGTGCAAAAATGTTTGCTTTTTGAATTCTAAAGTTAAAAATTGTAATTTCAATTCCAAGCTGAACTATTAATTTCATGAAAATTTAACTGAAAATAGCAATAATGTTACAAATTTAGACAAAGTTAATTCTAAATCGTTCTATATGCTTGTTTTCATATTAAGTTTGGATATACTGATGGAGTGCAATAAAGAAGACTTGGAACAACAACATATGCGTCGCTTAGCATTTCTTGCTGTTGCATTTTCAACAGTTGCAGTCATCGCTGCTGTAATCACCCTTCCAGCGTTACATTCATATGTACAATCATTACATAGTCACATTACTGATGAAACTGAATACTGTAAGGTAGATTGGTATTTTAATTCTCAATCATTTTAATTTCCAAATATCAAAAATAAATTCAGATGATTGATTGAATATTATCCTTGCACATTAATATTAGACATATGAGACGTAATATTTATGTAATTATTTAATATGCTACTTAAAAAAAACTTCTTGAAATAAATATTGTGACAAATTTACTTACTACATTATAAGCTCAAATAAACAGTTGTTCATTGTTAGCAGTGAAAAGTAACAATGTTAACTTTACAAAAATGCTCACTGATATCATCAACGCACAAAAATTCTAGACAAAAAAAGAGAGAAGTTTAGTCAAAAATGAGTACCTAATTTCTTACAAATTATTAGAAATCATGCTAGGCGTATGAATGCAAGGCAGTAATTGCGAAAGTGATCAACAATTCATGCGAAGAGAAACTAAAAATACCGATTTTTATTCATTTCAATAATTAAAAACAATCATTTCTAGCAACTTTTGATCTGCGAATCCGATAATTCGTTCAAAAAAATCAAAAACTTGTCTACCTTCACTTATAAAATTATGTAATTAAAAATCGTGCATAAATTAGGAATAATAATAAAAATAAATATTCAGTCACGTTCAAGTGATATGCTTGCTGAAATGTCTGGACTACAAATGGCGAGTTTCCGACGCCCAAAACGTGAATGGACTTTTGGTCAATGGATACCAACAAATGGCAATGGTCATTTAGAATATGGAAGTGCCTCTGCTGCTGTGATTAATGCAGAATTCAATAATGCTTGCTGTACTTGCAACCAGGTTAGGATTTATAGTTGATCCTCAAAATTTTGCAATTTTTATTCTGTAAAAAATTTAAATTATTTCATGAATCCTGGGTAATTTCTAAATTCTGCTGATTTCAGCATTAATCTTTCAATAAATTTACAATGTTAGGGACCAGCAGGACTTCCTGGGCCAGATGGAGACTGTGGTAAAGATGGTGAAGATGGAATAAGTGGTAAGAATGGAAAAAATGGTGCTGATGCAGAGATTAAACCAGCACCACATGTCGATCTTTGTCTTATATGTCCTTCAGGACGTCCTGGATTACCTGGAAATGTAGGGCCAAAAGGACCGCCAGGACCAAAAGGTACTCCTGGAGACCCACCAAGAGACGGCGTGAACGGCGAAGTGGTAAGATTGGGTCCCAGATTTTGCTTGAAATTTTATAACTGATCCTTTGAAGTAATAATTATTGGTTATTGAAGAATGCAACTTTCAGAATAAATTAAATTAGTAGAATGTCAAGTGAGCCAAGAATAATCCTAAATATAACAGCAAAAAGAAAATGACCCTACTGCAATGTGTTAAACTTTCCAGGGAACATCAGGACAACCCGGAGCCACGGGACGACTTGGAAGAATGGGACCACCTGGAACTCGAGGTGCACCAGGACGCATAATTTACATGACCGGGCCTCAAGGACTGCCTGGTTTTCAAGGTGTGCAGGGGCCATTAGGTTCTCAAGGTATTCCAGGACCAGATGGGCAATCTTTCCCAGGAGCTCCTGGATTGCCAGGAGATCCAGGACAGCCAGGACAAGAAGGTAAACCTGGACAAATTGGTCAAAAAGGGATGCCTGGTGAACCTGGAGAACGTGGAACATGCAAACATTGTCCTAACAAGTTTCTTTTTAGCTGGTAGTGTTTAAAACTTAAAATTTCATTTTGTTCCTAACCATCTAGATTTTTAAAATGATGAAACCATCGACATGCGGGAGGTTGGATTAAACTTGGCGTGGTAAACTTCCCAATTCCAATTATTACATAATTCAGTAAAACCTCAAAACCTCTATCCATTGTTATAGTTATTGTTGCTGACTAAATGTTACATTGATATTGTCAAATAAAACCAGAGCATACAATTTTGTTGCACCATCAATGATAATCTTAGAATTAGAGAACTGTTTTAAATGAATACATCCACCAGTGAAAATATCCCATTCACCATTATTAATTTATCATGTAGTCCAATTAAATTAATGCGAAAACATGGAACTGAAATGACAAAACCATTATTTCGATAATTCATGATCTATGATTCTCAATTCCGATGAAAACAAATTCCAGCACTCCGCATTTAGAAAATTTCATCCAGCGAACATTTAGCTTTTCAATGTAATGTTTCATATTTTTTTAACTAAACAATGATGTTAATAATATAAGTCAATAACAATGCAAAATCGAAATATCACAAAGAGATCCACCACTTTACAGACTACACACAATACTTTCAAAATTGATGATATTGTTCGAACTACAAACAAGCAACTACGAGGCCACAATTTAATAAGCTATCGAGAACACGGCATATGATCAGAATAAATAATGATAGCAAATAAATGATTTCAAAAAAGAAATCAGTCAAAATATAGTGTAACAACATTTCTTTTTTTCTATAAAAGCTTAGTTGGTCAGTTGAAGTGCCCATCTCTACCAAAATAAGCTACTTTGCAGAAAAATGCAGTCACCAAATGTCGTTAATCCGGTATATTTTGAAAGAAAATGTAGCACAAATCATTTGGAGTTGTTACTGTGAATGTTTGACAGACGGTCCAGCACCGACAGCACTAAGGAATATATCCTTGACAACATCTTCCATAGGTTCCGTATAGCAATCAGCAGCATGTGCAAATTCGTGCAACACAAGACTTTCCTGTTTTTCATTCACTAAACTTTTTAAATTCTTGTACTGATGGGCTGCAGAAGAGCTAGTCAATTGATCTACAAAATATGTAACAAAATTTAGGAAGAAATCGCTTTTTAAATCTATTCTTATTACGATTATGGCAGGTATTTAAAATTGAAGTTTCAAATTTACCGTGAATCAATTTATATTAAGTAATTTATTCAAGAGAATTTCTCTTTTTTGATTTTAAAAATGGTCTTACTATATTTCTTAAAATCTCCCTCGCATTTTGGTGCATATTAAATTGCGAGGGAAAAAATAATAATTTTGCAGCCTTTTTATGTGAATATTATCCAGCTTTTATGAGAAAAAAAGAAACACCAAGCCTTATAATTTTAAATGTTATTCTAAAAAGACAGTGTATACCCTGCCATCTAAAATATAAGCAAAAATGAAAAAGTTGCAACATGATGAAAGAAACCTAAGAGATTGGATGACAGTTTGCAATATTTGGTGAGAGCAGCCAGCATTAGTGGTACATTCTCGGATTCCAAGAACAAACAACAATTAGGACCAGCATCGAATGTATACGCCACTGTAGTACTATTGCAAAATTTATTGAGAGAATGCACAAGTTGCATAAGATGCCATGAATTTTCATTCAAATACTAAAATTTTAGACATACATCAGATTTCAACTAACAGGAATTTTTCGCACTAACTATCGCTCAACATCTTGCTTCATGTAAAATCAGTTCTTCACTGGATAGACCTAGATTACAAAATTAATATCAAAATGCTAAACTATTCACATATTACAAAAAAATCAAAAAATAATCATTAAAAGATAGATTACAAATTTAACAGATTCCAAAATTCATAAAATAATTCTAACGATAGCATCTCGGACATTTCTTTTATACTTCAAAACTTCCATACTTCCAAGTTAATCGGCACTTTTCAAACTGAGTTTAATTAATTTTGAAAAGATACATGAAGAGGTGGTGCAGTATCCAGACATACAGCGTGCAGCTGTCTACTTTCCAACATGATAATCTCAGCAAACCTTTCAAAATTTTTTTCCCGAAAAGCGTCTTTTAATCTGTAATGTTAAACTATGAAACCTTCAAATATATTGCAAATATAAATGTCTCATAAACGCAGTACAGAGTACTGTAATAATAATAATTTTATAAATCAAAAGAGCAAAAGAATTTGCAACAGCAATAACATGCTGTACTTTTCTATATGGCCAGGAACATTTTTGATCCTAGACTGCAATAATTCTGAAGTTTTGACAGTTAACTGCATGCCAATCGAACTGCTAACTTTCTTAGAATCGTATGACGTAACCAAAATTATTGCTCTCAAGGTAGGCCAGTAATCTTCTTCAAAAACACTCTAAAAATTTTGCATTTTAATAGAAAGAGGATCGAAATATGTGTAAAATTTTTCAATTTTAAGTTTACGATTTTAAAATTCTCCCTTTTCGTAACCTGAAATATGCAGTGAAACTTGGGAAACTAAACATACTTCGCAAACACAATCTGTACCATCCTCTGCAACGCCCGCCTTCCAATGTACAAGTCCACTTAGTATACTACGACATGCACTTCCAGAACCTAAATTAATGCATAAATTTCAAAATAAGAAACATACGTTTTTGACACAACTGAGCGATAAATATAATTAAAAATTGCAAACACTATTACGTACCAAGCCTGGCAACGCGAATGGTATCCTTGATATCAAGATGACATATCTTTCCAAGACCATAAGCAACAGCTGCAAATCCAGCCGCTGATGAAGCAAGTCCTGCTTCGATCGGGAAAAATGTTTGCGAAACAACCTAAGATAAATATTTAGCATGAAAGTAGACCAAAAATCTATTTCAGCACTATAACATAAGCAAGAAAAAAATTTTTAAAAAAAGTCCAAATGTAAATTCCGCGAAATAAGAACAAGAATCATGTCTATTACTGCCACTTACATCTCTAAATTACGCAAGCTAATTTACAATATGTGCAAAGTAGAATGAATTTAAAGTTAAGTAAATAACTTCAAACTTGCTGAAGGGATTTGGATTTCTCTTACGTGAATTCTTTGACTTCGTTGCGCGTTTCCGAATCAACCGTCGAACTTCCTTAAATTATACGCGCTACTTTTAGGATAAAAACAAAAAAGTAGTCATCATGACAGAATACAAATTAACCTACATTAAAACAACGAAGAAACCGTGGATGTTTTGACAAAGAGATATTTTCACCATTAATTGAGACTGAGTCTTTCTTAATAGAAGGACCTGTTCGCAGTCTTGTTTCCGTGAAAACATCATTAATAGAAAGTGAGATGGAATCGTTTAATGGAAGTACTATATTCTGCAAATAAATTAATAAAAATGTGCTGCTTAAAACAAACTTACTGATGAGGAAAGTTTCCCGTCACAAAATACCTCACCCAGTATATTGTGTAAAAATATATTGCTGTAATAAACCAAAACTTATAATCTTAATACAGTAAAGTCTAAATCTACAACTTTATAGCTTTTTCTTTATTCTATATAATAACTTACTGTGTTGTCAAGTGATCATTTATAAAATGCGCTACTATTATTTTAATATGAGACAGAACTCATCCGATCATAACTTGCAGATGGATGTGTATACATATACAAAAGAATACCTCATTTCGCTTGCCCCAATATTTTACCAAAGCAATATTTATTGGGGCAATGACTTCCACTTCTTTGTCACAATCACTGCTATCAGACGTTGGATTCATGGTATTATTTTTTACCTTAAATATTTATTCTCTGAAGGAATATAATCATAAACTCAATAAAAATTGATGAAAACTTAATGTTTTTCATTAATAGTAGTAGTGAGAACTAAAATGATAGTCACAATAAGGACGACATTTCGAGACTGCTTAGGTAGAAAAGATTTCCCAGTCAAGGATTTTTTCTCATTCAGATGAACATTATGGTCTCCGCAAACTTAAATGGTACGTTTTCCCACTTTATTTTGCCATCAGAATGTGCCATCAAATTGGCACATTTTTGCAACTAGTATATCTTGTTTAAATTGTTGGTAGGATTCTATTTTTCTAGCATACCTTCTTGAAAAGATCATAAATTAGACTATCAAGAACTTAGGCCAGAAAAATAAAACCAACCTAGAATGTGAAAGGAACATGACACCAGATCACAGTAGTTTCTAATCGGTTCGACAAAAAAAATTTGCCCAATTTCAAATTTAGTTGCATACGACGAAGATGAAACTGCCGCATCTTAAGAATACTTCAAATAGCATATTTTAAATGTTATAAGTTAATTGCTGCACATTTTACTCTGCTTGGGTGGTTGTACTAAGTCTCCAGTCTTCTAAAATGTTTCTCAATAGTCTTGAAATTCAATAATCCCAATTTTAATTATCATCTTTTACTGTCAATCTTTTTTAACTCTTTGCACTTCAATTCTTAAATTATTTATTGTTTAGTGCAAAAATGTCGTTCTTTTACGATATGAAGCAACATTTCGGCACTACAAACCTGTATGAAGTGTTGAATTTGGGTAACCTTAAAGTAGATGGTGGAAAATATAGCCGGGAAGAAAGTAAGTAGGCTTGAAAAATACCGGATAAAAATTTATTTGATGTAGTGTTCTAAACTTTTGATGTATCTTAGTCCTTTTCATTTTCTTCACATTTTTTCAAATTTGTAAACTATTATTGTTTATAGTTAAGAAGGCCTTTTTTCAATTATCGCTGAAGTTTCATCCAGATCGATGTCATGATAAAAGATTAAAGTCTGAAGTAACAGCTAAATTTCAAATTCTGAGTCGTGCTTACTCTGTACTCAGTGATCCCAAAAAACGAACGATTTATGATGAAACGGGTAGGTAACTATTGTTCTTTACCCTTCTCTGCCTATTTTTCCCATATCATGACTCTTAATTTATTTATTTAGGTATCGTGGATGATGAAGGAAATGAGTCTGATGACGGAGACTGGCTTTTGAAATGGAAATCATGTTTTAAAAAGATGACAATGGATGATATCGAACAGTACGTAGAGAATTATAAAAGTATAGAAATATAGTTCTTAACTTAACTTTTGATGTCTTCTTCTTATTCATTTGATACATAGTTATTTGATCAAAAGTTATCTGATGATAGAAATGTAAATTTCTAATCAAAGTTATCTGGTGATAGAAATGTAAATTTCTATCACCAGATAACTTTTGATTTTTTTTTCAGACTCTGGCAAAATTTTCAGACTCTAACGAAGAACGTGCTGCAGTCAAAGAAGCCTATATTAAGCACGAAGGTGATATGGGAAAAATATTGAACGATATTTTGGGTGTTTCATACAAAGATGAAGATCGTTTGCGTGGTATCATAAGAGAAATGATTAAAACAGGAGAATTAAAACCATTAAAATTCTTTGTTGCTGAATCGAATAAGCGAAAAATGAAACGAAAAAGAGCAGCAGAACGAGAAGAAAAAGTGAGTGTATTTTCAGTCCTAGTAGTTAGACTTGCCTTATAGAATTACTGAAAACATTACCGATAAAGAATAACTTTTGCCTCTTTTCTGCAGGAAGCAAAGAAATTGTTGGATGAGATTACTAAAAAAGAAGGCAAGCTAGATCTTCAATCTATGATTCGAAACCGGCAGCTCAAAAATGCAGAAACTTTCGATGAGTTTTGTGATTACTTGGTAGATAAGTATGCAAAAAAGAAAAAAAACTAATTTTATTGTTTGCATTTCTTTGTCTTTGCAACTTTTTGTTCTTCGTTGTCATCTAAAGCACACGGAAAATTTATTTCTCAATAGTAGCTGAGCCACATTAATTAGAATCTCTTGTTGCGAAATCAGAATCGGTATTTGAAATAGCCTTTATGTTCCTCAGCATGTTATATAATTTATACTGTTATCTGTTCCCTGATTATATTAACTTTTATGACATATCATGAAATTGTAGGTATCCATATTGTGTATAAATACTTTAATTTTTCGAAAATCAATCTGTGGGATAGTTTTTTGCTCATGAAAATCCTTCAGTGATTACAGGTGGCATGGAGATGAGTAATTTTTAGAATAAAAATTCGTGTGTTTCTTCGCGTTTGTTTTTTCTAGATTTTTTCTGTCTCATTATCCACAAAGGTGTATTTATATATTGTGTTAAAATTTATATGGAATTCAAGGTTTTATAGCCCCTTCATATTTGATGTACATTCAGAAAACGCGTTAAATTCTGCTGTTTTCCTGAAATTGGTTGCGCACCGTAAAAAGTTATTTGGTATTTGCAAAAATTTGTAGGAGTAAATTATATGCCAAGTTTAACACTCAGTGTGATTCACGTTAGTAACTACTGTTCCTAACATTTTATGTACTCTTTGTAGGTGGATTTTTCACAATTGACAGTTGTAAATTGTTATCCATACAAGTCCAGTATTTAACGCTTTTCATCCTTCGTCATTCATTCTGTCCGTGTCTAATGAATGTGTTTCAGCGATTAAAATTAATGCAATTTTTTGTACTTTTTTGGACGAATGAATGGCATTTCTGGATGATGGACTTGTTTTCAAAATTGTATGTGCAATTGGATTATTTTTTGTTGTGCAAATCGCGGTGTTTTGGTCACAAATACAGAATCTAGATGACAAAAAATTGACTCTTGTGGCAGAAATTGACACGTTAATGCGAAAACGTGAAGTGTTAAAAAAGAGCACTTGGATGTTGGAGAGGGATACGTATCGTATGGAAGAAAAATTGAAGCGGATTGATGGATTGTTTGTTTATCTTTTACTCTTTCGGTTTTTTTCCTTAAAGTATAGTATTGGTGTATATCTAATATGACATCTTTTCGATGGTTTCATTTTTTAGAGTTCGTGATCGAGTTCCACTTGCACAAGTTCGAGAGAATCTTTCTTTTATTTACTTTATTACTCCAACATATCGAAGACCTACACAGAAGGCTGAACTTATTCGTCTAGCGCAAACGCTAAGTAGGTTTTTTAATATAAGATTTCATACAGAATATCATTAGTTTTTAAGCACAAAATTTCTTTCTAAAAGTTGATGCTTTTTCAGCTTTTGTACCTAATTTACACTGGATTGTAGTCGAAGATGCGAATTCCACTTCTCCATTCATCGCTAGTATTTTAAAAAGATATCATATCAGATTCACTCATCTACATGCTCTTACACCTCCAGAAAAAAAACCAAGCGAAAAAGATCCTAACTGGAAAATTGCACGTGGTGTGGTTCAGCGAAATAAAGCCCTTTCGTGGTTAAGGTATCTTATTTGTGTGTCCTTTTTTTAATTAGTTTTATAAATGTTGTTTGCGGTATTTATATCACAGCATTTAGCACTCTAAAAACTCAAGTTTATCGATTGTTGAAATTATCCGTTCTTGAATAGACATAAATGATCTATTTAGTTTCTCTGCATTATGAAAATGTTTATATTACAGGAAAAATTTAGGCAACGCAAGAAAAGGAGTTGTATATTTTGGTGACGATGATAATACTTACGACTGGAGATTATTTGATGAAATTCGATCCGTAGATAGAGTGGGCGTATGGCCAGTCGGCCTTGTTGGTGGTTTGATTGTTGAAACAGCGAAAATTTCAAAAGGTTATTGGTTTATGAGTTACGTACCTAGGTATAAAATTTATTATTTCGACTATTGACATTCATTAGCTCAGTCTTTTCTCATTTTATGTTGCTGATTTGCTTTATCAATAGTTCATTTTTTTTTAAATTTCAGATGGGACTGTATCCTTCAACTCTTTATGGAAACCTAAACGATCATTTCCTATCGATATGGCAGCATTTGCAGTCAATTTATCTTTGGTGCTTAATACTGAAGCTTGTTTTACTTATAATGTACGCCGTGGTTACCAGGTTTGTGAAGTGACGATTTATATGTTATTTCAAACTGTTATATTAGTATTGCAAATACTTATTGATTGTATACGTTTTGGAAGATAGTCCGCTGTTTAGGAATCTCACTTTCTTTCTGCTTTGGGTTTGGAAGTCAAAGATTTGGAAGTGAAAGCTGATGGATGCACAAAAGTTTACGTTTGGCATACAAGAACAGAAAGACCTAAACTTTTGCCGCCAGAAAGATCAAAATTTTGGCATGGTCCATTGAGTCATGTTGAAATAGACGCTATACGCTAATACGATGATTTTTTTAAGATCTATTTAACTTATAATTACCGATAATGTCAAGGTGGAACATTATATATTACACATATTCGTTATACGTTTCAGAGTGTGTTCTGGATAAACATTTTTGCGTTATTTAGCTTCAAATTTCGTTCGCTTTCTTCATGTGTCAGATCCTATGTTTGGGTATGCTTGTCTTTCAGTTCAAGATTTTTAGTGTTATTAATCAGAAAACTGTGTAGAATGGTTTATTAGTACAAATTTCTTCTCTTCTACACTTAATTCTGGGAATTTGTACTTAACTCATCAGTCTTGTTATGCTCGGGAACATTCTGTGCATAAATTATCCTCATAACTCGCTCTTCATACATCACAGTCTTGCTTTTTATAATTTAATGTAAATTGCTTAAGAGTTAGTCATATATGTTTTATTCAAAGTTTTCTCATTTTCATTTTTGTAAAAGTATTCGTCAAAAATGTAAAATTATTACTTGTGTTTCGAGATTAGATTGACTTTTAATTTCTACAAGGAAAAAAGTAATGTTCTGTCATGCAGCTGATTTTCGTTCGTATCATAGCTAAATTGTCTGACGAATACCATATTTTCAGGTCATAAATTAAGAATTAGCTTTCATAAGTAATACTTATTTATCTGTATTCTCTTGTTTATGCGGTCATGAATCTGTTTCACTGATATAGAGTGCTCTGTTTTCCTAAAATTGTTGAGAATAAAATTTTGTTGTATTTATGGTGTCTGCTATTTTATCTAGTTGCAGTTTGCTATGGTTTAATATATTTTTTACTACAGTGACAAATTTAGACTGTTTCTTCGGTGATGGGGGAATTGACACATACAAACTGAGTCAGGGGCCAAACATGTAGGTATCTCGGCATGGTTTTTTCTTTGGGTGGCAGCATCATTTTTCTTGTGCTTCAGAAGAGTTTTGTTAGATAAAGCTTTTTATAGAGAATCGAGAATGGGTGAACGTAAAGGGCAAAATTTTTATTATCCACCAGATTTTGATTATAAGAAGCATAAGAGTTTGAACAGTTATCATGGCACGCATGCTTTGCGAGAACGTGCTGCAAAAATTAAAGAAGGAATTCTTATCATACGGTTTGTTACAAGACTAACTTTTACAAGACATTTTTTTGTAACTCATATTAATTTCGTATTTCACTATTTAAGGAGTGACAAAAAGCAGTTTTTTAAATTGGTCTGTAAGCAGATTATGTAAAGATATTTGAAAAGATTTTTCCATCAAATTCATCATCTAATTTCACCTATTTAAGACAACATTAATGTTTCTTTTTTCATACTAATTTTCAGATTTGAAATGCCATTTAATATTTGGTGTCTTGGTTGTAATAATCATATTGGGATGGGTGTACGTTATAATGCTGAGAAGAAAAAAATTGGCATGTATTACACGACACCATTATATGAATTTCGTATGAGATGCCATTTGTGCCAGAACTATTTCCTCATACGAACTGATCCCGAGGTGTGTATTACTTCACAATTGCTTATTTAATAATTGGAATATTTTTATTTCATGCTTTACTTGATATTGTTCATCATTTTTGTTCAAAAGCAGTGATTTTTTCTTGAACTAACATTGAATTTGTTAAGCATTTCGATTATGAACTAGTGGAAGGTTGTCGCAGGCAAGAGAAACGCTATGATCCATCTACTATCGATCAGCTAGGAGCAGTTGATCGGGGTTTCAGCAGGCAGCTGGAAAGTGATCGAATGTTTCAGGTTCCATTGCTAAGTTTGAAACTTTTGACGCTTTGAGTTCACTTTGTTTCATTTCAAAAGTATTTATTACTGGAATGCTAGTTTGTTGGTTTTCTCAGTTGAAAAACACAGTTTTATATTTCGAAACCTACTGATATTTTTGAATGAAAAATTTATAAATTTCAGGTTGAACATGTGAAAGAAGACAAAGAAAAAGCGGAAAGTTCAGCTGATCAAATTGGCAAGTTGGAATGGATTCAAGAAAGAATGCGAGATGACTTTGCAGCCAACCAAGCTCTCAGAAGGATGTTTAGGGCACGCGTCTATATAAATTGAAATTACTGTGTATCGGCCTCATAACTTTCATTGCACACTAATATTTGATCAAATATTTACTTCATTCAAACCATTGCAGGGTGAAAGGGGTAATTCGAGAATTGAGAAAGCCAACGATAAAAACTTATTGGAAAGGATGTCGTTAAATATTGAGCTATTAGCGGAGAATGATGAGGACAGAAAACTTGCTGCAGCAGTCATGAAACGTAAAAATATGAAATGTGTGTGGAGATTTGTTTCTAACATTAGTAATGATGGATTTTTAACAAATAAATCGTTTTTATTATTTTCTATTCTTTTTAAACACCAGAATGATATAAGTGATAAACAGAACATACAGAATTCACTAGAATTCATAGGATTTAGGAAAACTTGAGATGAATGGAAAAAGTCTTCCAGCTCTAGAATTTCCGCTGTGCTTCGATATTAGTTTTTAGATCTTATGAAATTACTACTTAACCAGTATTAATATACTCAGTAATTATTTTTCAGTCCCTGAAGCTACGGAAGAGAAACGTAACGAAATATTGAGAAAACCTATATTTTCTAGTTCTCATCCAAGTCCATTGGCAAACACTGCGACTTCAAAGAAGTTGTTGTCGATGAATCTTTTAGAAAAGAAATATGACGTATTCAGTTCTGCGCCAACTACATGGAGCAGGCAGGAACAAAATAAAGCAGAAAGTCTTGGTATTGTAATAAAAAAAAAGAAGGTGGAAACTGAAGATTGTATCGAAGCCGATGCTTCGAAAACGGTAGAAGTCTCGACGTACTTTTGTTTTTAATCCAGTGTTGGAATTTGAAATTTCTGAATCGTTGTTCGTGGGAAATTAATTGGGTTTTATTTATTTTATTGTAGTAACAGAGTGCTGTAATTTAATGTGTTTAATAGTAGAAACTGTGCTTAAGACTAGATCCTTAACTTGTAATTTTCTGTTATCATGTTTATTTCTGTTTGCTTTTCTACCGCATTTTCTCGGGAATTCTCTCACTATATAAAACTGTTCAATATAGTTTTTACACTTAGATAAATCACTTCTTCTAGAGTTTTTTGTGAATAGTTCGTTGGTTTTCAGGCTATAGCAGTTGCAAACTTGAGCATGTTGTGTCACCACTCGAGGAATCTTTCTTTTTCAGCTCAATCCGGGAGAAATTAAGTGTGATGTGCCAGAAGTTCAGTGTTCTGAAGGAATGAAGTCAGGAAGTGGTGAGGACAATATATATACATCACTTTCAAAGTCAGAGGAACACAATTTTGATCTCAAACCTGTGAGTCTTGTAGCTGACTATGGTAGTGACAGTTCACTGGAAAACTAGACGCGGCTGGGTTTTTTGCTTATTTTATTCGGTTTCTTTGTACTAAATTTTTCACTCCTTAAATGTTGTTTTGTGTTATAATTCTTCAAACTCTACTATACTTTCAAAAAATAGTAAAGGTTAATAAGAGCTGTAGTTGCTCACTCGTGAAATCGCATTTTAAATACATTACGCAACTGCAGATAGAAGTATCGACAATATAGATATTTTGTTTCTCAGCAACAACATTGATTTTTTAGGTATTCTAGGCTTAACAAAAGCAGCACTTTTATCATGTTTGATTACAAAAATGGTCTGACAGAGTTCATCATTAAGTAAACCACAGCGATTAATATGATATTGGTGCCTCCAAATGATAACAGACATACAATCATAACTTTTACTTGATTTTCAGACCATTCCCGTCCTGTAATATTGTGATTATTGTCTTAGTATGTACGAAATAATTACGATCCAATATGTATAAAATGTTAGTATTTGGACTACAATTCTGCGCAGGAAAGTATGTTGACTGCTCAATATTTTATGAAGAATGATTTCTTTGATCAACTAGCTCAGTTAAGTAAATTTTGTGTATGTACCACAAAAAAGTATTTTTTTTTGCACACAAAAAATACTTTCTCCACATTTTTTAAACTTTTTAGTAAAAACAAGCAAAAGTAGAACCTAAAAAGTTTGAATCTATGAAATAGTGAATGAACGAAGTCCGGATTGAATAGAGTTTTATATCATGTTTTGACTCTCAGTTTTGCACATGTTATTTGTCGGATTAAAGCCCAGTGCTGATTTATTTGGGACTAAGTCATAAATCATTTTATTCTCAAAGAGACTAGTTTATGATTATATAATCGAAAATAAGCAAAACTAGACAAGCTGCGCGTTAATTTTATTAAATTGTGGGAGTAAAACTAATTGCTATCCAAACTTTCTTTTGGTCGACTTAATCATTATTTCTACGACTATTTATACAGGTTTTATTATCAGGCAAACAATTTAAAGGAAGTAATAACATAACGTCTATTTTTCCAGATTTTTGCAGTTTGAATAAGAAGAAAATGTGAATTCATTACTTGCAGTCTTCATAATTTTTGTGTCTACGTCTCGAAATGTAATTTTGTTTTTGAAGCAAATATTCTGAAATTTCAAAGAGAAGAAAACTTTACGTACATTTACCATGATTTAGCAAAATACAATTGATCTTGTATAACTAAGCAACGAATTTACATATTGCCACATTGTTGCTATTTTATGCAGTTACTATGTATGCTTTTATTTCTATGCTTTGCCGCATCGCGACATTCTTGTATAATTTTTATTTTAGAATACGTCCTGGTTCTTGCTGACCAGCATAATCGTCATTAATTGATAAAAATTTATGTGATTCGTGTTTGTAAGAGCAGCAAAATTACTGCATATTCAGTGAGTAGTGTTCCAAAAGAAATAATTTGTGCGAGAAAAATGTTGACCTTATTTTTTGCTTTAGTTTTGGAAGGTGCATTTTTCTGGATTCCTAAATGTATAGAGTAAAAAATTTTTAAGTAAACACAGGAATTCAAATAATGTGCCGGAAATACGAAAAATGTTACAAATTCACGCTTGGCATTGACGTTTACCCCCGTCATAAAATTACATTCTCATAAAATATTTTGATATTTTGTGAGCTGGACATGTATCTATCAGAAGCAGTCCGTGAGTGTTAGGTTGCTTACGTTTACTTTGACAAATACTTCCAGATCCATGATTATAAAAAACTACTGATGAATCTTTACTCTCAAAAATATAATAAGAACCTGCGGTCATAGCGTTTGTGACAGAAATAATAATGAGAAGGCAATATAATTTGCAAAATGTGATTTTGACCAATTAGTTATAATGTAGCAAGCTTCTGAACCTTCCAGCTAAAATGAGTACTTTAAACAGGATAATATTTGAATATTCCTTCTTTTCTAGGAATAATTAATGCATTTCACAGGTGCAAAGGGAGGTTGTTCTTTTTTTGCTAGTTACTTCAACGATATAGCTACTCTGTGGAAACAACTTTGTATGATAAAAACTGTTACAATTTGCAACCAGCCACTTTCTTATAATTTTTGTTTTCATTTAATTTGCATATAAAAGCAGTCAAGACTAGCGAAAATCCCCATGTAGACCTGCTAAAGTGACTAAACCACTCACCAAGTAACAATGCTGATGCAGTGAGAGAAAAAGTTACTCTTTCTCATTATCAAGCAGCAAAATGTGCGTACAAATAGTTACTCAACTCTATCCCAGCACTTCATCAGCTACCGACCGGTTTGTCAGTTCAAAAAATGCTATTTTTGCGCAATTCATTGACCAGCAATTGTTGAACGCTAATGCAGTCCATACTCCTCTCATTCTGGCAACAAAAATTACCATAATTGTTGTAAAACTTTCCGCTTAAATCTGAAACGTATCGCACGTCATTTCCTTCTCTCCATTTCACTTATTACGCTTGTGGGTCATTTCTTGCCTTATTTTTCCTCTCAAAAGATGGGTATATGGATGGAATAGAAAGGGGAGAAAGAAGGGGTGATCTTTACCAACTAGAAATGCATGTGCTTGTGGTTTGTAGTTTGCAAACTATGCATGGTATTCATGTGACCAAATAACACATACATTTCTTAATCACGTATATAAGTGATCATTAATTACGTGCCAGTATGACGAATTAGTCATATAAACCGCTCACGGTAATGTACTGCAATGCTTGCTTCCCTCACGAAGGTCCCTTGCCTTGCCCATTTCATGCCATACCTCCGCTGAATTGACGGCATTCATGTCGTAGTGAGGGTGGTTACTGCTGCTACTGCTGTTGCTGTTGCTCTCTGCATCCATTTCACATGCCAAATACCTGCACACCGCATTGCTCTCTTCCTACCAATAAGTCTGCGTGATCTGTGTGTATGGCCTGTCTGGGTTTGTCAGTATCTATTCGTGTCTGTTCGTGTATCACCGTGAACGTGCGTATGTGTATGTTATATGGGTTAGTTAAATGCATAGATCGGGAAAATAAAGGAGATGTAGGAATGCGGATTTGTGCTTTGGGAGTAGCGCTGGATCAACGAAAATGCACAATGCCAAATCATTCGGGAATTCTCAGGACATTCCAGAGCATGGGCGTGTGTTTATACATATATACATTTGTATGTAGATATATACGTATATAGATATGTAGTATGGGGAACGTCCATGTATATGTGTATGTGTATGCGTGTGACCCATACGTAGAGGTAGAGCGTAAGAGAGTGTAAAGAGGTGCCTGCCCATTTGCCTCAGGCGAGCATTAATCGATATGACGGTAGTCTGCTGGATAATCGCCAGCTGCACATTGCACACCCTTCATGTCCTTCCTCTTTGTTTGCACCTTTCTTCACTTGCCCTACTATTTTTAAGTGTGCGTGTGTATGTGGTGTGTATGCGGGGGTGTACGCGCGTGGAAGAGTGGGTTGTTGACATGTGTTTTGGTGGCATATATTTTTCACAATGAATTCAATAGTCGGTGGGCGCGGGAGGGAGTATCTCTGCCTGCGCTTTTCATTCATTAACAGGAATACATAGATGAATAGATAAATAAATAGATAGGTCAGTTCATTAAAATGTCTTTTCTAAACAGATTATTGTTTCTGTTTGTTTGCGCGTATTATATGTCAGGTCTCGCGTCACATGTACGCTTGATTTACGTCATCCTATGATAGAATTCAGTTGTGAACATTTGTGGATGATGTGATATGACGTATATGCTTATATATATATATATAAGCTTGTGCGATACGTACTCTCATTATGTGCTTACGTGTGTTCATCTTCCTCAATGGTATTGTGTACGTTGTGTCCTCTAACGGAGTTCATTTTTTTTCATGTTGCAACGATGTTTATACTGTGTGGATGCGTAATGAGCTAGCAATTGATATTTCTGGTCTTTGAAAGAAGGGATAAATTAGTGTGGATGAGAATTGATTTTGGAATGCAGTCAGATCGAATGGGATTCATGAACGTATTTATTTATCACTCTAGCTTCACTTCATTCCAATTTTTTCCTGACCTAATGCTGCGAGTGTGATATTGCTTAAGGCACTTTTTCTGCGGCATTTATCTTTTCAACATTTCTTGTTAATGAAACATTTGCTCACTTTCTCATTTTCTTATTTTAATTTGTGATTTGAGTTATTTTTTCTTTAGGGGTTTACTTCCGTATGATTATGTCTTTTACTACTCTTTTGCATTTGCAATTGTTCTCTTTGTAATGCATGAAAAATTGCCCTGTGTGCTGCTAGAGTATTTTACTATAGTTCTTCACATTTAAAAATTTTTTGTTACTTGATATAAATGTATTCATGTCGGAATTCGTACATCTTTTTTATTCAGAAAGAAGTGTCAAATAACTTTTATTCACTTCTGTCGGAATTCACATGTACAATTTTTTGATATAAATCACTAAGCTTTTAAGTATTTAATTTGGTTTTTTTTTCAGTTTTTCAAAGTGCATCTTACTATGCTTCCTAATTTATTCACTTAATACAGTAACAGTCTTTTAAGAAATATAGTATTTATTTCTTGCAATGTTTGCGCAGCAACCAAAAGGACCTCCTTCTAATCGACCCCAAGCAACTTTAACGAGCCAAAGTGAAGCAGCTGCTAAAGAGAAGTATTTTTTCTACTTCAATTCTGTCTTAATTTTGCCTGAATATTCAATATGTATGAGTGTTTTTTTTTAATTAAATTTGTTCTGTTCCGTTTGCCATTTTTAAAGTCACATATTGTAACTTATGTGTGTATCTAAATCATAATTTTGGTACTGTAGGCTTGCTGGATTTGTGTATGAATATTTGGTACATAATGGTGCAACGAAAACTGCGGAATCATTCAAAGGTGAAATGTTATCGGTAAGGAAGAACATTGACCTCTTGGTCTAATTCATTGCAATTCTAGTGCGCTTTAATTATGCACAGTTCTATCTTGAGCAGAAAATGAAAGATCTTGTTTTGAATTAATTGATTTGCTTCTCTGTCAATTGGTAATTGTATTTTTTTAGTTATATCCAATCGTTGTACATGTTACAATAGCTAAAACAATATATTTGGAATTAAAGATCGTTTCATTACAATGTTTCAGCAAAGTAATGCTTCGAAAAAAATCAATATTGGTGATGCTCCGGGATTTTTGCAAAATTGGTTTTTGTAAGTTCATATATATTGTTATTTCGATTAGTTTATGCATGAGCTGTGATTGTAATGACATATTTCTCGATCTTACTCTTTTTATTGTTGTGTTTCATTTTCAGCTTATTTTGGGACTTGTATTCAGCAGCTCCGGAAAGACGGGATGCATGTGAAGCTTCACAAGAAGCCAAAGCTTTTCATGAATACGTAAGTTTTTCTGCCTCAAACCGAAGTTAGTATATCAGTCCTTTAGCCTATTATATACACAGAGTTTATAAGTTTCTTACAGGGGTTTATGAATGCAAATCATGGCGTTCCTCCAGGTCCTGCTGGTGCACCAATGATGAATGGTATGCATGGGTCTCACCTGGTTAGTTATCATACCTTTTGAATCTTAATAAATTAATTGCTTTCATGACTTCACCGTACTATTATTGCTTATTTACAGTTTCCATCAGCAGCTGCCAGCCCTCTAGGTATGGGACCTGGACCAGGACCAGATGGATTAATACCTGCTGGTTATTATCCACCTCGAACTGGACAGCCGGGACCTTCAGGTTCAACTAGTCAGTCATCACCAATATCAGGTGACAAACAAGAATTTTGCATCATTGTTATAAAGTCTGCTGCATCTAGTTCATTTTGTGGTTTCGCCACATTCTCAAGCATTTACTATCTCTCACCATATTTGTTCCGGTTCTTAAATGTGTGCAGATTTCTGTCACCCACCGCCAAAATGTTTGGTCCCTGTTTAAATTATTAGCAATTCCACAACTTTTAGGTGTTCCTCCTTCTGGAAGTTTTGCTCCAGTTCCTCCAAGATATGGCATGCCATCAAGAAATGGCCCACCAGGTCCAGGTATGCCACCTGGCACTAACTTTCCTGGTGCTGGACCGCCTCATATGTTTAGTGAACAAATGCGGCCTATGCAGCCTCAACGACTACCTCCCAGTGCAGGTCCAATGCGTATGCCAACGGTACCTTTATATACTCATGCAACTTACTTGAATTTGTGACTGTATATACCGGCTTCCAAAGTCCATTTAATTTAGTCATTTGTCTCAGAATTGGATTGAACTCTTAACTATGCATCTGCATTACATATTAGCATAGTTTATTTTTAGCTTTGTAAATACATGGCATTTTTAGTTAAAATGTCCCTCTCGTAATTTTGAGTTTTTGGGCTGTCTTTATCAGCTTTTTCTTTATAGAACTTTCCTGGTATGCGACCGAATGGCCCAATGCGATATGGTTCTCAAATGTACATGGAATCTCCCACTGGCACACCTTTTCCTCCGGTTTGTTTTTCTTTAGTTTATTAGTTACCACGTCCTTGCCAGAGTAGTTAATACTTTGCTATAGATTTCCGCAAGCAAATTTAGATCTTTGACAGACTTTTTAAAATTCAAGAGTGGTTTAGGTTTTCATTGTCGTATTACATATTACATTTGAAGAACGCAATGATGCCAAACGGTACGATATGTTCCTCAACTCCTTCGATGATGTCATCTCCAGGTCCACAAGGACCAATGCCAACAGGTCCTGATGGTCAAGCTGATCCAAGGGGCTACATGATGATGTCGACTGCTTCTAACATGCCGGTGCTTTACTTTTTCTAACCAGTTTCTTCACGTCTACAGCTGAATTTGATCTTTTTTTACTTTTTTGTGATGCGAAATTCATGCATATTATTTGTGTTATGTACCTTGTTTCAACAAAAAACAGTTGGCTACAAGATCGTCTGGAAATATTCGATTGCAGTACGTGATGCATGGTTCAGAAGGCAGTATGACTCCTGGGGCAGGTGGCAGAGGATCGACTGGACCTCCAGGTTCAGGTCCTGAGCCACAAGTCACTTCATTGTTAAACGGTGATGAAATGAAGCAGTCACCTGCTTCTACTCATGGTGGACTGAATGGTGGCACTCCAGGAGCAGCAGGTGGACCAGGTTTGTAATTCTCATTTATATGCTTCTGCTGTAGGTGTATAAAAATGCCATAGAAGCGATATTAATTTTCCTTGCAGGCCATATGAACCGTGATATCTATTTCAATTTATAATCTTATAGTCGGCTCTAACAAGGCCGGAACGATTCGGTTGTCGCGATTTCTTTACGACAGCGTAACTGGCCATAACCTACTCTTTCAATAATGGGGGCTGAGCTAATCAGTATTCCTCCTAGTTTGTTCCACCCGCTGGTGGCTTTGGCCCCAACTGACCATGATAGTTATGTCTCATCATGTTTTGAATCTGCCTATCAATTGATTTTTATTCGTAAACTGTCTATAATGATATTTCTTTAAACAATTTGTGAAGTGCAGGCAGTCAAGCACCAGTGGGTGGTCCTGGCTCAGTAGCAGGGGCTGGAGTCGGTGGTCCTGGTTCAGTACACTCTCAATCTGGTGCACCTCCGAATGCCGTGGCTGGTGGCAGCCAAGGTAATGGTCCTGGTAATGGGTCCAGCACGAATTCTGGTGGTGGTGGGCAAGTTAATGTTAGTTTTCATTTAAAATAATGTAATTTTGATCTACTACAGAATAAAATGAAGTCATATATTACTGAGATATGGGATAAGAATATTATTGATTAGTGAAAATCTTTGTAATTTCATTTTTTAAATCAATTGTTTTAGAATTGTCTAAATGATCTTATTTACAGGAAGAAGCAAGCGAAATATCCAAGATAAAACAAAGTTTGTTTGACGATTTAAAACATTTTGGCGCAAAAGAAGACAACAGTGCTGAGAATTATTTCTCTTAAGAATGTGGTTTTGCAAGAGAATTATTTATTCATCCACAAATCTTTCAAAAATTAAAATTAGGGTTCTTGTTTAATGTATGATGAAAATTTTATCTGAATAATGTAACGGCATTATTTTTTAGCTTTTTCCTCGACAGTGAGTCAGTAGATAGGTTTTTTAAAATCATTGTTACGGTTTATTTTCCGACCTTATGACGCAGCGGTCTATATTAACGTTTGATTACACATGCAATAGAGCGTTTTAGATATTGAGGTTTTGTGTTTCATCTACTTTATGCTTATTTCGCCAAGTTTGATAAGCATTGTGGCAATAGTGGTCAGAAGACATAAAAATTAAACCTTCTGAATAACTGAGATATATGATTAACATTTCTTTTGTGTGATGCTTATTCGAAAATGGTAAATTTTTTATATCGTTCGGTTGTTTTTTCCCACCAGAGATTATATTGGCATCACATTGAGTTACTAGCTAGCATTTTCTAGCTCATATAAGTTACATTTTGTTTCTTTATCGATGAGATATATATTTTTTCAATTTATTTCGGTATTCTTTAGTACTAGTTGTTTCTTTCTAATGTTATTAATTTATATAAATCTTTCTTCGACGTATTGTATAAGCTTGTCAGATGCTCAGCTTGGCTACTGTTGCACGTTTTGCAAGAGCTATCTGTTATTTATTCCCATGCATGTGTGTTTTGGTGAACATTTCCATTGTGCAATTGTATTTTGAGTTTTTTTACATGGTAAAATTCGGTACGCTATCTGGAAATAATGATCTTCTTGCATCACCCTGAGAACTGTTTCCATTAATCAACTTTTTGTGAGGTTACTTATGTTTATAGAGTTCATTGAATCTCATGAGAGTACATATTTCAGAGTGTTGAGTTTATTAGGGTTCTATGTTAATCTATCATAACAGTCAAATTGGGGCTGCTACTTATATGACTAGTCATGCTAATGATATCCTTGAACATGAGATAGTTTTTCTGTTTACGATGGCATTAAGAATCATTAAAATTCACCTTGTTTTAACTGTAAGTGCACATGGGAACAGTTACAGTTGTACATGTTCCCAGGTTATGGCGTTATGTTTGTAAATTTGAATGTTTCTTTTGTAATTGCATTTTTTTTATTTTGGTTTGTCGTGAATTCAGTGTTGGTTGTACTTTGTTTATTTGCAGTATGACACGTGATTCATTTGTATCTTGAATTTCTTCTGTTTATTCAGTGTTATGTAAAATGCTTTTATCTTGCAAATTGTTTCTTTCATGTGAATTTATTTATTCTTGTAGTATTCATCATTAAAGGATGTATCTATTTTCGGACTGTATTTCATCTCTGAACTACAAATTGACTATAAATGAAAACTACGCATTACACTGTAGTTGGAATTGTTTTGGTCGAGTAGGTTTTTGCAACAATTTTTCTGAGGTATTGAAGTTGTGCGATTGCGTAGTATGACTTCAACTCAAGGACTATTGCACAATGTGCTTTGGGGAAGTTAGTGGTAGAATAGGGTTGTGGGATGCATGATAATGAGTATAAGGTCCACTTATACTTTGTCTATTGGTTGCTCATTTGGATATTACTGGTGTCGGGTGTTTTAATTTCTGCTAACAGAGGTTAGTACTAATTCACGTCCCGTTCTGTCTATCGGATTGAGTCTATGCAGACTTTATGCGTGCATAGTTCCATGTATGCAAGAAGCCTCGTTATTGTTTTCCGACTCGTTTTCGCTGGGAAAAGTGTGTGGAGCAGTTCAGGACTTGGGAAGTAGCCTGCCGTATACCAATCTATTGGGTATTCACTCTGTGCGATATGATTTGAGTATAGCGTATACTAAAGTTGCATTGAGCGGTGAGTCGTTGAGCTTAGAGACGTAAGTTGAATGTGGAGAAGTCTTTTGAAGAACTAGTTGTTACTCAGTTATAAGGTCGGGGTTTTGTTTGGTCATGACAAATGCCCAGGTTTTCTGATTCGTTAGAATAATACATTAGCAATAGTAAATTACACTGCAGCATATACTGTTTGACACAAATTAATGTGTTTCCTACTTTCACATTAAGAAGGACTGAATGCACTACATCTATTCATAGTATTTTGGTATTTTGCTGTTGGTTAGGGTAAGGGTGGTTTTAAAACGTGAAGTTTGTATGAGACATAAGATTTTCACAATGGTATTACTATGATTTTGGTCTCTTGGTACAAAAGTATTCAATAGGAAATGAGCATAGCTGTGTTCTTTTTTTCGTAGAGTGAGGTGCAGTTAAATATGTGTAGGTACTTTTTTTTGCATTTGCTGTCTACAAGTCTAGCACATAGAAATGAAGTATGATGTGCAAGTAAAATTAGAAGAATATTAGGATAATAAGGTGTGGAAATATCAGAGTGTTTTTTGTATAGTATTAAGTAATGAATCTATTTAATGGAAGACTTTTACTAAGTGGTAGTAAGCTTCATGTGCATCACTCATGATTTTGATAAGGTGAAATTCATTATTCCTGTAACTAATATCCACGTGTTTGTCTTTGTTATATCAGTATACGGGAGGTGTGATTCATAATTTCTTGATGAACAGAGAAGGAAATTGATCAGTTAGTAGTATATATACGTTTGATTCGATTTGGTGATGACTTATTTCTAGAATTTCTGGGATGTTGTGTAGGCGAATGTTATCCAGGCGTAACGGACTATCAAACATTTTACGACGGTGTTATGCAGCAGGATCTGCACAGAAAGCACCGAAAGAAACACCTGCGTCAAATGTCGATGAATTACGTTTAACTTTTGCATCACCTACCGAAGTATCACTCATATTTACTATTAGTATTCTTATTTGTAATCAAGTCTGGTTTACGTATTATTATTTATTAATTTTCTTAATGTAGAGCTATTTTTGTACGTTAAAAATCAGCTGTGATTAATGGTGTAGCACTGCAAGTTCCTCCAGAAGAATTATACATTTTTAGTGGGATTTCCTGACATTATTTATTGCACATCTTTTCATTTACAATATACTATTCTATCAAATGAATTGTATTAGTTTAATTTCAGCTACTAGATATTGAAAGTCGTACACTACTATTTTAAGTGAGCTTTAAATATTAGATAAGTTTTACTCCGAAATAATAGTGCGCGTGAAAAATTGACTTCAAAGTCTTATTTGACGCTCTTTCATTGCTTAGAAAAGCTTTTTTATTTACAGGTAAACATTTTTAATAGCATGAGCTATTACTGATCTTTTATGTCTGTTATAGGTTTTCTTCAATGATACTGTCGTGAAACAGGTTGATGTCTCAACCTTAAGTGGTTCAGTTGGTATTCTCCCAAGGCATGTACCAGTAATAGGAATGTTAAAGCCTGGAGTTGTTCGAATTACGGACAAAGATGGTATGAATGATTCACTTTAAAATGTTATGTTTGGATAAAAAATTGCATGAAGGTTTACACTGTGTTCGCTCAAATATTATTTCTTTCATCTTTTAGACAAGAGCATAAAGTATTTCGCTTCTTCTGGTTCAGTTTCAATGAATCCTGATGGTTCCTGTCAAATTCTGGCCGAAGAAGTAATTCAACTTGAAGACATCGATTTGGCGGTAAAATTTGGAGTTTTTGACTTTTTTGATCTCTTAAAAATCTTTTTCACAGTAGTTTTTTGTTTTCCTAAACTCAGTTTTCTGACATGGTAAAATTATGAATAAAGGGTTTTTTTCTAAATTCTTGACACTTCTGAATTTATTTGTAGAAAGCAGAAGAGGAATTGCGCTCTGCTCAGCGACGTGCTTCCGAACCATTGGAAGGTGAGGCTCAAGCTGCGGTGCACGTAGAGATAGAAACGTATGAGGCACTAGTAAAAGCTGCTCACGACTCCAATAAATAATACGTATTTATCACATATTTTGTCTTCTCAAGTGTTTACTGGTGCAACTTGCGAAGATTCAGTAGGATAAACATGATTGCTTTTGGAGATTATGTTCATTATAGTAAAAAATTGTAATAATATCGTGTCTGGAGAACGGATCAGACTCGTACCAGAATATTAGTCTCGTGATGTCTTTCTCTAGAGTATTCATAGTTTTTTAAATGGTAAAGCAACTGTACAAAGTCCGCTTGTTTCTCGCTGTAGTTCTAATTTTAATGTTTACTATTTTCTTTCTCTTCGAGTTTTCAATTGAGTGTGTTTTCCTCACTCTGTCTTAACTTTTGAAATTATTCTGCTTCTAAAGTTCTGATCTAAAATCTATTGCTAGGTTAACTTTTGCACAACTATTAATAGTCAGTCTGTGAATACTGTGTGTAAAAGACTACATGAAAATAAGCATCTCAAGTTAACAGAAGTGGAGGAAATGACGTTTGTAGACCATATATCCTTGGCAGATCAATATAACTTGCATTGCTTACCTTGTTCGGGTCATAGTGAGTTCCGAAAAAATTGTCTCCAATGATGCGTGGTTGGAACTAGAAATTATTCTTTTAATTATTAACTCATATCTTTTTGATGCATTGGAGGATGGATTGTAAGGCAAAATATGTTGCATACATTATCCAAGAAGCACTTGACATAATTTGGTATAAAATTGTTGAGTTTATTGTTATTGTGGGTTATGGTAAGAACGTGTATACCATCAGGAAGGAGCATAAGGCGTTTGCAATAAACTTAAGTTGTTGGTGTATTTAGTAATGAAGAATTTATCTTCTCTATCAATAATGGTGTGGTCTTTTTTTTCTATTTTTTTTGATTAAAAAAAGTGAATTGGAGGATTGCAGAACATTTTCAGACTGACTTAATAATTGATACTGTGTTGAAGGCTTTGTTGGAATGATACAAATTTTACCGGAATGTCATCTTCCTTTCCTTCGTTTTGCAATGCTTCACGTTGATGCAAAGCACGATTATAATAGTCCCTCAAAGTATGTTTCAAATTTTGGTACCAAAAGCGGTCCCTCGGGCTAATTACATATTGATCAGCTCTTATGCAGTAGTAAATACATGATATAGTTGTTACGCTTATCAGTGCTGCTGTTGACTGCAAAAAAATCATCCTAAAAGCACGCATTAAAGCATTTCCTTGCAGGTTCACGGAATTAAAGAGGTTTTGTCAAGATTTGCTGTGATTTTAACAAAAAAAAGAAACCTGAAATCAAAAGAAGTCATTATTCTTCTTATATAACTAGTGCAATTTTGACATATATAATAAAATGAGTAAGTGGATGAGTAGCTCGAAGAATTGTTTGAAAATTAGTTATAGTGGTAATGATGTTGTTATTATCAAGAAATATGTATATAAAATTATCTAGAGCAAATTGCAACTAGTTTTGTGTGGTTTTCATTTCATTTCATTTTATAAAATGTCTTGAATTATTCTTTTTTCATTTCACTTTCTCTGTCCTAATAATTAAAAATTTAAGAAGTAATTAATGCATGTCTTGAATTGACATATTTGGTATCACTTCAGAGCTAAGTGCGCAATAAATCTTATATTTTTGGTTTTTACAAATTTTCAAGTTTTCATTTAAAATATGCTATAAACATATTCGAAAATTATTCCGTGTAGATGGTGATTAAAAGAGTTGTAAAATAATCTCCAAAATTTTGAAATGAATTATTGTTAACTATTGTGAACTTCGCATCTTTACAAAACGATTATAGTTTTCACTTCAAGTTTGGTTTTCATTTATGAGAAGAACTGAATAAAGGCGAAATCTTTAAACTGCAGAAAATAAATGACATTATTATAATTAATAAGAACTGCAATTAACGAAAAGTAATCAAATTAATTAATTAAGAGGCAATTTTCTTTTTAGCTTAATTCAGTGTCGTTTTTATTTTATGTAGCGATTGGTAGATAATGGCTATAATGCTTAAATTATTATGTTTATCAGGACTATGCGTACAAAATTATATCTTATCAGAGCACGTTCGTAAGTTGAATTTTTTTTACAAAAGTTAAAAGTGAAGCTAAGAACTTTTATGTCATACGTTAACTAAATTAGCATTGTAGAAGCAGAATGAAAATATTTTTATTGCTCAAACACTGCACAAAATGTTCCATGACTCTATGGAGCTTTGATTTTCTAAGATGCATTAATAATAATTGGGACTAAATTATTACATCTCAGTTTTATATTTTAAATTAGTAATAATTCTACCAAATTGTCTTGTGCTTACAATTTAATATAAAGCTGAATGGAATTATTTTACTTCAGAACACATTCATCATGTAGCAATACTTGTAGTGTTAATACTCTGAATTAGTATTCTGAATTAAGATTATGAAAATTTAAGTATGAACTAATAATAAATAAGTTTTTTAACGACTTTTACAGATGACAGATTGAAACGAGAAAGCATGAATGAAGCAGTGAAACTGGCTTGTTTACGAAAACCTAATTTACCCTACTGCCAACAACATCGAAAATTTGTCCTTGATTATCCAATTGGTATATGCATTTTACATAATTTTCTGAATAATTTTCTTTCAAAAATTGTTCTTGCGCACTCTTGTGATCCTTAATTATAATTTACTCTATTGCGAACGATGTTATGAATGTTATTTGATTTTCTAAAAAAACAAATTTCAGTATTCAGCTATTTCTATTTTCAGTTCTGTGCTGCAATTTATTTCCTTTTCAGAAAACAAAAATATAATTGATAAAGCTGAGAATTTGGCGCTCAAAAATTATTTAACTTCTAATACTGATGATATGCAGTCATCAAGCAATACAAACATTTTCAATGATGCTTTATATTCAAAGTCCATATCACCAAGTGGGTCAAAAATTTGTACACTAATCTTATTATAGGCAAAAAATTTTTGGACATTGTTCTCTGCCATTACAAAATAAAAATATTCTTATATTATTAATACTAAAAAGTTTATTAAAATGAAGGAAAAATTATAAGATATTGCATATGAAAATAAATTTTGAAACAAAATAGCTTGTAACTTTAGATGCAAAACGTTAAAATGTTATTAAAAAGTAAATTTGTTCAGTTTTTCAATTTCAGATTTTTTGACTCTCCTTTTTATTAAATTTGTTAGTATTTAGAATGTATTAATCAATTTTTCAATTTTTTGTTTGTCACAGTTTTTGCTAATTAATTGTTTGCTATTTTTTATATATAAGATTAGATTGAAATGCTTTCTATTCTTAATAAATACAGTAGCAATAATTTATCATTGTATAATATTGTTGTGAAAAATGAGTGAGTTATAAACTTAAAATTTGAAAAAATTATAGAAGAGAGTCTTGATATGTCACTTCTCGAACCAATGGATCTAGCTCGTAATTTAGCTGACAGCAATATTATTTCAAATTTTGAACATGTTTCACTACCCAAATCATCAGCTCCACCATTTCCATTTGGAACAAAAACTTATAATACCTTACAAAATACTGATTCCCATACCTTAATTACCGATCAAAAATTTGATAAACAAGAAGAACCGAATGATGCTTCATATCACATTCAAGTATTACTAACCAACAGTTTTATCTCAATTTGAAATAACAGAAATATTTTATACATTTAATATCAGAAATATTTGCGAAAAGTATTCAAGGTCAATTACTTATTCTGTTTTTATTTATCCTTTGCAATATTCCGTAAGTTGTCAGATCACAGCAAACATTTGACATTATTATGAATCATTTTAACTTTGTCATTCATGAAATTTAGCAACTAGATTTCAGTCAAATTTTAAAAGTGGTAAAAAGTTGTATCTAGATTAAATTTTAATTCAAAATATCACTTGCTTAAAATTATTCAGTTTCAGAAATTTTAATAAACTTGTAACACAACGAAATTTTTAACAAATATTTGTAATTTCTATTGTTTATTTTCATTTTCATGCATTTTATATGGTTTGAAAATGACTAAATAAGCTTATTTTTACTTCAATATTCAGTTTTGAACAACTTTTTGAATCTTGGACTCATTTAAATTACTTCAAAAATTTATCTTAATTGCATTAAAATAAATAAATGCTTGCCACTCTATTAATATTATTTTAGAATGATGATGAAAAAATGAAATATTTACTTTGTCAACGCTTCCTACCAAATGCTATTAAGCACTGTACAAAAGAACAACTTGAAATTCGTTTTGTGACACTATGCCAAGAATATTTAACTGACTGTCAACCATATCTTAACTTTTTAATTCCAAATCAAGAAGCAGAATCAGCATTGAGAGCAATAGCTGATACTTATAGTTCATCAGTTGGATTAACTTATTATCACTGGGGAGTTAATGGCATACCATATTATCCAATCAATGAAGAAGGAACTGTTTCTAATGGAGCTCATGGAATGGTATTAATTATATTTGTAATATTTTGATTACATCAATTTTGATAAATTATCTTTCGATTTTATAATGCAAAAAATTCCAGTGTCTTTATCTTTTTTCCAGCAGATATTTATTTTATACTTTGATAACTTTTGTAAAAAGTTAGCATACATAAAATTAAGCTTGTATTGCAATTTTAGTAGTCTGTGTGAAGAAGCAATTACGGTATTGTCTTTTTGTATACAAAAAAATGATTGTTTTGGTTATTACTTTTGAAAATATAAACAAGCAGCAAAATGAAAAATGCGATCCAATTTAATTTTTTCAAAAGAAATTAAAATAGGAATCAAATACTATTTATATGAAAAAATATGAAGAAAAATTAGCACACTATTACTAAAATTTATTATTTCATATAGGAATCTAAAAAATGATAACATAATTTCTAATTTGTCAAAAAAAGTAAACTTTGTTTACATTTTAATTTTCATTTGTTTACAGGTTGATTACGGTTCTTGGGGTGGAGGATATTCAAATAATTTTGATGTACGAGATTACTGGAGGATGAATAGCAAAGCAGGAGGTAATTGGTATGAAGGATTATATGGTTATGGAACGGGTTGGAATGTACCAATAATGCAAAATTTTGGTGCTGAAGGTGGTGGTGGGACACAGGTTTGGAATTATTTTTACTATTTTTGAAATAAGTTAGTGATTTATGCATTATTCATTTAAAAACTGAAGTTTTGTGCGAATTTGCTGAAAAAATTATCCATTATTTTTTCGTTAAAACTAAACTTCAAAAAAACAGCGAAAATTCTTTGAAAACTTTTAACAAATTTATTGTATCATTTTTGCGCATTATTTTTAAAATGAAGTTTTTTCAGAGCTGTTTTTTTATAGTTTGCATTAGATACTGAATGAGTATGAATACAAATTCACATATAAAGAAATTTGTACGAAAAATTGGTTTCTTTAAAAAAATTAAAATACAATGAAATATTGGTATTGAAATTATTGGAGATTAATAGCTAAATTGGTTGCAAAATTTCGTTTAAAATTTGAATATACTTGAGTATTTTCTGAAACAAACATTTTTATTTTGAATTTTATCCGCAGTCATTTAAAAATTTGTAATGATTTTTAACAAATTTTCATTTTTTAACAATCATTTCCAATGATTATCAATATTTTCAATCATTGGAAATGATTTCAGTATAAAGTATGATATTTTCAGATTCATATTCCAATAAAAGAAGAAGATTTTGGCAAACCATTACGTGCTACTAATGGTTACTTTGTAGGACCATATGCAGGAGTTGCAGACAGTACAGCTGTTGATTGGTTGAATGGTCGAGTAACAAAACAAAATGGTTTTGCGTCACCTTACACAGGTGTAAACGTATATAGCGGTAGTAGCGTAGGCTTTCCAAGCATTAATTCTGTGGTAAAAAATTTAGCTAGAAAAACTAAGATTCATAATTTGGCACAAATTTTGGCTCAAGTCAATACTTCTGCTCATCATGCCTTAAATTAATATTTCTAGATATGTTTGTTTACGTCGTTATTAACTACTTTATTGTTTTTTTTTCAAAAGAAAAAATGAAAACTATCTCTGAAAGAAATTTACATTTAAAAGCGATAACTGATTTAAATTTAAAAACGATAGCGATCGATCTAAGTAGTAATTTAAATAAATCAGTATTTAGACCAGCATAATTTAAAATTATTTTTTGTAATCGATATATACTGCAAAATTGATCCTTTTTTTGCTCATTCTAATACAAATGTAATTATTATGTCTTAAATTAATTTTTGATGATAATTTTGATGATTGATTATTGTGGGCTATTTTTTGATTGCGTCTCAATTTTTTTTTTGCCTTTTTTCAATGTCAATACCTCAAATTTGTAAATGCTGAAAATTTCTTTCCAACAATCAATATTTTTTTTGATCCCAAATTTTTTGCATTATTTGCTGGGGGTAAATAACTGTGTAATTAATAAAAGTATAACTTAAGTAATAATTATTTCAGATCAAGACATTAAGCATTGCATTCTGTTCAGTATAAGCCGATTTTTTTTTCTTTGCTTTTCACTACTGATGTATTAATTACTTTAGACAAGCTTCTAATAAATAATTTAGATTGAAGCAATATTTTATTCAGGAATGAAAGATTAAATTTGCTTACAGTACAGAAAGTTCTTACTATCTTATTAAATTTCAGTTTGATGAAAGATTAAAAAAAATTGCTGAACCGAATTTGCAAGTGATGAAGAAATGAAAATAAAAAATCATCACAGTTACACACTTTTTTAAATGATACTTTGTTTAGTCCAAATAATTTATTAAATATATTAGAAATAAAGTTAACGATAATTGTCAAAATATTTTCAAAGTTTTCAAAACTTCAAAAGTTTGATTTTTTTGTTGTTGATGAAGTATAGTTAAATTTTCCATATTTTTTAGAAATATCATTAGAATTCGATTTTTGTCAACTTTAAAAAATATAACAAGTGGTTGATCTACAAAAGAATAGCAAAGTCTTCAGAATTTTTGAAATATCACCCAGTCAGGCATTTTAAAATGTTTGAAAATGTCACTGGCATTAAATGTATGTGTGTCAAATGTAAAAAATTTCTTCTAAAATTGGTATTTTTTTAAAATACGATAACATTTACATTTATATCATCACATTTTACTCAAATATCACAACGGGTAACATTGCAAATAAATAATAAAATTATGTCCAGATATCCAGTTAATAATAATGGAATAAATGAAAACAACAATGGCTACAGTATTAATGCAGTATCTATTCAATAAAAATATCTAAATTAAAAATATAATAACAATAATAATGTAAATATTTATACAATATTTAGTCGAAATAAACACACAAATATCAACAATATTTATAAAAATAATTTAATCAAAGTGTATTGCATGAAGTGCTTATTAAACAAATATTTCAGAGATTTTTAAGTACTTTTATGATTGATTGATTACAGAAAGTGAAATACTGATATTGCTTTTTAATACTGGTAATACAAACAGAAGTAATTTTTGCAAATTTTTGATAAAAAATTTATTTGATCACAAAAAATTGCCAATTCGTTTTTTGCACAATACAATCTTGAGAAATAAAAAAGTTTCACACTTTTTATTTTATTGTCAATTTTTGAAGTGCAATTAATATTTGTAACAAAAAATTCTCACCTTTTATCCTATTATAAGAGTAAAATCCATAATTCTTTCTCTTGCTTGGCTTTGTTAAACATTACAATACAAATAGAAGAGATTAGTATGGAAATAAAAAAGCAAAAAAAAACTTTACATAAAAATTTGCTGCTTATGCAATGAAGAAAGCAAGCAATGTTAGATTAAAGGTTAAAAGTTAAGCGATAAATTGATTTCACATTTGCCCAGAGAGAGAGTTATACATATGCTTTTAAACTGATATTTCAATTAATGAAAAAAAAAGAGTCTTTTCATTACGTAAATGAATAAGCAACATGCACTAAAAAATCAGTATATAAATTTAAAATTT